CGCACAGTCGTGGGTAAACAAGAAAAACAGCAGGGGGCCAAGCACAGAGCTCTGAGGGACACCTTTATTGATGGTCAGCATGGAAGAAAGCTTTCCATCGACCCTCACAGTCTGTGGTCTGCCAGTCAGGAAAACCATAATACATCTGCATAGAGAGGTGTTGATGCCATTAAGCTTCCTGACTAGTCTGGAAGGAACTATTGTGTTAAATACATGCATCTTAATCATTCAAATGAGCCAGGGCAGTGTGAAGAGCAAGGGAAATAGCGTTGTCAGTGGACCTGTTACACCAGTATGCAAACTACAGGGGGTCTAAGCACCCAGTTACAATTGTGTTAATGTGCCTCATGACCTGTCAAAGCATTTCATTATGTAAGCACTACCGGTCTGTAATCATTAAAACACTGCGCAGTATTTTTCTTTGGCACTGGAATAATGGTAGTTTTCTTAAAACACATGGGAATGGAAGATTGTAAAAGTAAAAAAATCCATAAAAACCGTGGCCAACTGGTCTGCACAAGACTTAAGGACCCATCCAGGAACGCCGTCCGGGCCGGTTGCTTTCCGCGTGTTCACCTCTCTGAAAGTTGCCCTGACTTCAGCCTCCGTGACAGACACGCCTGTATCATCAGCGGCCAGGAGCACCGGCAATTCCATGATTCCCTTATCAAATTGAGCGTAATAGGCATTCAGCTCATCCGGGAGAGAGAAATCCCTTTCAGTGAATGTAACACTGCTTATTTTGGCTTCATGGTTTGTTATTGTCTGAATACCCAGCCAATTTGGCGCACCTCAGGAGAGGCAGCTTGTATTTCTATCTCGTTACAGTATTGCCTTTAGTGTCCCTGATACTTCTCCGCAGATCATACCTTGCCTTCTTATAAAGGTCCAGTTAAAGGCCTTCAATTGTGCCCACGGCTTATCCAGTCATCCACGCATTTCTTAGTAAAATCAGTGATGACTGCAGTGTACTCATTCAGGTTTGCTGATGAACTTTTAAACACAACCCAGTCCACAGATTCAAAGAAGTCCAGCAGCACTTCAGCCGTCTCCTCCGTCCAGTGTTGAACTGTTCTTGTGGACACATTCTTCCACTTCAGCTTCTGCTTGCAAGCCGGCAGGAGAAGCACTGACAGATGATCCGACTGTCCGAAGTGCGGGCAGGGGATGGAGCGGTAGACGTCTTTGAGATCGGTGTAGCAATGATCAAGAGTATTCGCACCCCTTGTTGGGCATGCTGGTAATATTTCAGAAGAACTTTCCGCAGGTTGGCCCCCGCAACATCGGATACAGTTTCATAGCTGTTAATGGTGGCATATAATTGACTGAGTGCAGTTTCATGTCCGACCGAATGGAATATACACCGCCGACATAATAACAGATGAAAATTCTCTAGGTAGGTAGAAAGGATGACATTTTACAGTAAGGTATTCCAGGTCCGGAGAGCAAAATCGCTTCAGAATTTTCACGTCTGAACACCAAGAGTTGTTTATCATTAGACTACACCACCGCCTTTATTCTTACCAACCGAACCAGACCGATCCATGAGATTGGTGGAGTATCCGACAAGTTGAACGGCTGAGTCAGGCGTATTGGGGGTCAGCCAGGTCTCGGTGAGACAGAGAATACAGCAATCCTTGATGTCCTGCTGATGGCTAACCTTCTCCTTAGCTCATCCATCTTGTTCTCCACGGACTTCATGTTAGCCAGGAAGACACTCGGGAGTGGGGTCCGGTAGCCACGGCGCTTCACTCAAGCTTGAAGTCCTTCTGCATCTGTCGCATCCGCTGTCTCTGCACCGAGTCAGGTGGGGGGGGGGGGTGTCCGTATGCAGAGGTACCCAAGATAGTAGATTTGGATCCAAATAGGATATTACTGTGTTTAAATCAGCGATTCTTGCTCCAATGTCCACAACCACTTGTCGGTTATAAATAATTGCTGAAAAGACAGACTGGATACAAATTCCACAAAACAAAACAGACAAAGACACAGACGAGGAGCAACACATAACACGTCGCCACTTTCCGGCGCCATGTTCAGACATGCAGCAGTAGTTGCAGCATGCAGCAGACGAGTCATCCTATTAAATTTACATCTGCAGTAAAGACACTTTCAGACCTGTAAGATTCCATCACCAGTATATCTTATTTCAAATTAACATATAAAAAAACTGTTTACCTTAGACATCTTGATGTCTTAAACTGGCAATGATTGTGAATGTGAATTCATAAAATAACAGTCAATAAAAAACAAGTGTTCATGCTTTATTAATGATTCAGTTATTGGTGTGCTTGACCATTTAGTCTGCTGCCATACCTTCAACACTTATCTCTGAAATGTGTCCCTTCTGTCCTCGGATAAACACTTTCAAGCAGGATAAGTCTGCACGGACATGCAAACTGATTACATCTTCAAATTTGGACTTCTTAGGAGCTATGAAGCAAACAAAATTCACAGTGAAATCATTTTCATAATCCACCCTATTGTAGCTACAGGTAGAACACAGGACCTTAGTACCAGGAAATTGGGCACGCATGCAGATTAATAAATAATTGACACATTCATGTCTTAGTGAGGTCTAGGAAAACCACACCATATCCTGAGAGCACGGGGCTGAAGGGGGACTAAGATCACATGACTGAGCTTTCCCTGGATGAGATACCAGTTGAGCACAGGATCACAGAGAAAGGGACAATTTAGAGTAGCCAATCATACCTAGCCAGCAAGACTTTCAGGGGCCAGATGAAAATCCATATAAAACATGAGCAGAACATATGCCAGATAGAAGGCACCCCAGTCTGGCATCAAAACCAAAGAGAGCTGTGAGACAGCAGTGCTATAACTGATGTACAAAAATTAAGTTTAACAACTAATGCAATCTATTTGTTTATTACGCTGCAACAGAACATCAAATAATGTTCCCATCATAGCCCTAAATAGGCATTTCCCCACCTAATCATACTATGCAGTTCTGAAATCAAGTTTGATGAAAATCCAGCACTGAATAAGAAAAGACTGAAACAGAAAGACTGTATTCAGCAGAAATCTTGCACTGCAGACTAGTGAAGGAGATATCATTTTTCCTGCCTATTATTTATATAGA